GATTTTATTTATCTGAGAGAGAGAGAGAGAGAGAGAGCACAAGTCAGGGGGAGGGGCAGAGGGAGACGGACAAGCAGACTCTCTGCTAAGCAGGGAGCCTGATGTGGGTGGGGTTCAATCCCAGGACCCAGGGATCATGACCTGAGCCAAAGGCAGATACTTAACCGATCCAGCTACCCAGGCACCCCTCTTTTTAATGTTTTATAACTTATAATGTTATATAAAATGTTATAAACATTTATGACATTTAGGACTTGCAATACAGTGTTGCATAACAGTGGTGAGAAGAAACGTTCTTTTCTCCTTCCCAGTCTTAGAGGGGCAAACTTTATTATGTCATCATTAAGTATGATTTGGCTGTAAGTTTTTCATGGCAGTCATTTGTCAGGTTGAGGAAGTTTCCTTTTATTGCTAGTTTTCTGAGAGTTTCTTTCGTGAACGGCAGTTGAATTTTGTCAAATGCTTTTTTTCTGCAGCTATCGGAACAACTATATTTTTTTTCTTTATCCCCCGTAATTTGGTGAAATACTTTGGTTCGTGAATGTTGAAGCAGGTTTGCATTCCTGAAATAAACCCCTCTTTGTTATGACCTTTCATACATTTTATACGCTACTGCATTCAATTTATTAGTAGTACATTGAAGACTTTTGAATCTATGTTCATAAGGGACATTGATCTCTAAATTTTCTTTCTGTATGTGTGTTTGTTTTTTTGGTTTTAGTGTTAGAGTTATGCTGGCTTCATAAAATGACTTGAGAAATGTCTTCTCTATCTTCTGAAAACAATTTTAGTGGTGTTATTAAAAAGATTTCTGTCATTTCTCTCTTAAATGTTTGATAGACTTCACCAATGAAACTATCTGGGCCTAGAGTTTTCTTTATGCAAAGGTTTTTGATAATGGATTTCTTTTCTTTAATAGCTATAGAGCTATTCACATTTTTTATTTCATTTTGTGTTTTGCTAGGTTGTGTTATTCAATTTGTTCACTTTATTTAATTACGTATTTGTTGATATGAGGATTTCCATAGCATTCTCTTATTATCCCTCTAATATCTATAGGATCTGAAATAATGAACCCTTTTTTATTCCTGACATTAGTAAATTATGTTCTTGATCAGTCTAGTTGGGGGGTTATTAATTTTGCTGATCCTTTCAAGAAATTCGTTTTGGCTCTATTTTCTCTATTTTTCCTTTTTTATTTCATTGATATCAGCCCTGATCTTTGTCCTTTTCCCCTCTCTATTTATTTTTTGTTTACAGGCTCTTTTTTTTTTTTTACCTTCTTAGGGTGGAACTTGAGGTCATTGATCTCAGGCTTTTTATTATTTTTAATTGAGCATTTAAAGCTATTAATCTCCCTCTGAGCAGCATCCTACACATTTTGGTATCCTATATTTCATTCAGTTTAGGATATTTTCTAATTTCTGATTTCCCCTGTGATTCAGAACTGTGTTGTTTAATTTATAAATATTAGTGATTTTCCTAGATATATTTTTTGTTATTGATTTCTAATTTAATTCCATTGTGATCAGAGAACATCCTCCCCATGATTTAAATTTTTATAAATTTGTTGGCAGTCATTGTATGGCCAAAACAGCCTGTAGTCTATGATGGGACTGTACTATATCTACTTGAAAATAATTTATATTCTGCAGTTGATGCAGTTGTTATCAATTAAATCAAGGTAGTAATAGTGTTTTTTAGGTCATCTATGTGTCTTTAACTTTTCTGTTTCTTTCTTTCAATTCCTGGGAGGGGGTGTTATTTTTCTCCATATATAATTTTGCCAATTTTTACTTTATGCGTTTTAAAGCTCTATTATTAGGTGCATTTGCATTTATAATTATTATGTCTTCCCATGAATTGACCCTTTTATCATTATAAAATGTCCCTCTTTGTCTCTAGTAATTCTCTGATCCTGAAATCTACTATACATGTTAGGCATAAATGTAGTACTGCCAGCCTTCTTATGTTTGCATTGCATTTTTTTCAATACACGTATTTTCAACCTCTCTGTGTATTTATATTTAAAGTGCTTGTGTTATAGACAGCAAATAATTGGGTCTTGCTGTTTTATATATTCTGCCTATTTCTGCATTTTAACTAGACTGTTCCGTCTGTCAACACTCAGTGTTATTATTGATAGGGTTGGATTCAGGTCTACCATTTTATTATTTGTTTTCTCTGTGTCCCCTCCAGGTTTTTCATTGTTCTTTTTTTTTTTTTGGCCGTCCTTTTAATATATTTTAGAATTCCAATTTAATTTATTTTTTTATTATTTATTTATTTAAAAGAGAGTGAGAAAGAGAGAAGGAGCAGGGCAGGGGCAGAGGGAGAGGGAGAAGCAGGGAGTCTGACGTGGGGCTCGATTCTGGGACTCCAGGATCATGATCTGAGCTGAAGGCAATTGCTCAACTGAATGAGCCACCCAGGCGCCCCTAATTTATTTATTATTATTTTGGCTTTTTGCCTATCTTTTAGTGGTTGCTCTAGCAATTATAATCTACATCCTTAACTTTTTACAGTTTACTTAGAGTTAATTTAAGGCTGTTTCATGTAAAATATAGAAACCTTGAAATTATAGGTTTGTTTATATAGATCTATTTCTCCATTCTTCAAATTAAAGTTGTTTTATATATTATATTTACGTCAATATTACAGTTTTTGCTTTAAACAGTTGTATGTATTTGAAAGAAATTAAGACAAAATAGTCTTACATATTGACCCTTTCTGATGCTCTACATTCCTTCCTAAATATTGGAGCTTCTCTCTGGGATCATTTTTCTTCAGTCTGAGGAGATTCCTTTAATGCTTCTTGTAGATCAGGACTGCTATTGACGCAATCCTTCTGTTTCTTTCAGATACTTCAATCTTGAAAAATATTTTCTGTCAGTACAGAATTCCGAGTTAACAGTGTTTGTTTTTCTTTCATTCTGTCCACACTTCAGAGACCTCATTCCACTATTTTTGAGGTACCGTCTCACTGTCAGTCTGTGTTAAGAGTCTTTTCGCTCTAGAATAGATCAGCAACATACAATTGTATGTTGAGCATTTTGGCATTTTACAGGCATTATGAATGCTGTGTGTTATTTTTAAAAATCAGGCAATTAGGGATGCCTGGGGGGCTCAGTCAGTTAAGCGACCGACTCTTGATCTTGGGGTGCTGAGTTCAAGCCCTGTGCTGGCTCCATGATGGGCGTGGAGCCTACTTAAAAAAAAAATCAGGCAATTAACTTGGATTTAAACTGCAACCTCTGTCTTGCATGCAGTGGATCGAAGCTCAAATCTCAACTCAATCTTTGAGCCTCAGCTTCACTGCCAAGCATGATTCAGGCATCTGCTAAGGGTTTGGGCAAAATTTATGCACAAAGTTGGGGGCTCTGCAGTCTGGCTTTCCTTGGGATTTCCTTGCCTTGGAACTTTCCCTGGCTCTGGTTGCCCTGAACTGTGTCTCCAGCACTCCTGAAAGGCTGCAGGTTTTCCACCATAGTTTTAGTTGTTCCACACAGACAGACTGGGCATTGCTGCTAAGTTAAAAGCCATTGTCTTCAGGTAACTTTTTTAAATATATTTTTTCTGGAGCTTATCGTTGTCATCTGTGGGAAGGTTGGTTTCGTAGCAGTTACTCAGCCATGACCACAAACATGACTCCCCCCAAATTATGACTTCATACAATAAATATTATCATGTGCCATTCATGCCCCCCCAAGAGTTCAATTTATTCATTGGTATCCCATTGCATTTAAAGTAAAATTGAAGCTTTGCACATTATCCTTCATCTGAGCACACCTGCCCAGTTCTTCCTAAACGCAGTGCTTCATGGACATCAGTTACTGTCCCCCCAGACCTCAAGATTTCATGAGGCAGACCTGCCCTATCTGTAGGTGAGAGATATTTTGGAAAAGAGTTGTACCTGTGGGTGTATCTCATCATTGTTTAATTTCATAAGATTAGCCAGAATTAGAATCCCTGGCATTAGTCACAGATACAGATGATGAAAAAAAGCTTGATATTATTGAAGCATGCATTAATAATATATTTTTTGCCTCTTGCAACAAGATAGATGGATCTTAAGGAAATTATACCAAGTGAAGTCGGAGAAAGACAAATACTGTATAATCTCACTTACATGTGGAATATAAACAAAATGAAAATATGAACTTATAGAGAATTGATCGGTGGTTGCCAGAGGTAGGGTGGGAAGTGGGTGAAATGGGTGAAGGTGGTCAAAAGATACAGATTTCTAGCTATAAAATAAATAAGTCACGGGAACATAATGTACAACACGGTGACCATAGTTAATAATACTGTATTATATATTTGAAAGTTGCTAAGAGAGTAAATCTTAAAAGTTCCCATCACAAGAAAAAAATTAAAACTGTGTGGTGATGGATGTTAACTAGATTTATTGTGGCCATCATTTTGCAACATATACAACTTTTGAATTATTATTTTTTTAACTTTTGAATTATTATGTTGTAGACCTGAAACTAATATAATGTTCTCTGTCAATTATGTCTCAATTATATATATGATAAAAAGGCTTTTATGCCCGGAAACTAGAATTGACTCTTTAAATCAAAATTTCATCACTATATTATTGAGGTCTGGCTATTGAATTATCTGAAATTTCTCCAAAACTTTTATAAGACCTGGAATTTATAACTATCATAATAATATATGAAACAAATTATTACCACAAAAGCAAACGATCTGTTTCTCTATAATTTCTACTATGCTTAAAACAATGAGCAAATGCTAATGACTTTAAACAGTTACAGCTTTCTTTCTGTTCACCTCTTTAAGTGCTCTTTTTTTAGATACAAATTAATTTCCTCTTCTAATTCATATGCACCATTATAACTTACGTTCTCATAATCGTGTTAGCAGTTAAGTGGTTTACCATTCTATTCTTCCATTGCTTGAGGAAGTTTTATAGAAAATTCTCCTTTTTAATCTTTGCAAACGATAACAAATAATGTGCACCTTCAATTTCACAGATTAATAAACAGAAGGAGGACATGGAAACAAGGAAAAAGTTGGACAGCCTCGGTGGCAAGGTTTGCATTTAAATTTAAGTTCTTTTTTTCTTCTTTTATTCTGTGTGAGTCTCATTTTGACATCTGGGTTGAAAAAGGCATACATACCATATTGAGACTTTTCACTTTCTAAGATCCGAGTTTGAAGGAGAAAATGCTTAAAAGTGTGGATGGGAGCCCAGGAGCTATGGCTGAGCTCAGTGAGAGGGGTATAAGCCAACGAGAAGGCAAACCTGGCTGCTCGCATCCTGCTACACCGAGCCTTAGGCTCATGCCCTATCTCTTCAGATCCCTGGCCCTACACTCCTACCTTCTATTCCCCTAGCTTCCCACAAATAAGGTACAGACCTCAAGCTGTCATGTCACCTCACTCCTCACCCCACTCCCACCTTTCCAGGAGCTTCCAGAAAATACTGATCTGTTGGTATGTTTTTCTTAGTACAGTGGCATCAGTGGGAGGAAAAACAGACCCAGTGGACACATTAAATCAGACCAAAAGGGGGAGTGTCGCACTGGGAAAAGACCAGACCCATGCCCTTTGGGACTGAAAATCTGACCCTGCAATGCCAACTCACAGGAGGAAAAGAAAGGGACACGAGTCTGAAGAATAAAGTGAGACTAACCCAGCTGCTTCTTTTTGTGTGCCAGAGCCTGAAACTAGTCAAAGCCAAAGAGACCGCTGTGTCCGCGTGGCCCTCGCAGCCCAGGACTCCATCCAGACCTAGAGCAAGTTCCAGACCACACTCACCCGCCATCAGTGTCTCGACTGTGAAGACCAGGAAAGTTAAGACTCCAAAGAAATCTGCAAAGGAAGAGCAGCCTGTGGTAAGAACTGCTCCTATGACCACACTCTAGGATACCTGCATCCGCCCAGGGCCACGGGCTGTGTTAGCACTATTGTGACCTCACGTCCAGCATGAGCAAGGCCGGCTCACAATCTCCTACACCGGATGCCCCCCCACCCTCTGTGCCTGCAGCTGGGCAGGGACCTCTGGCTGCTCTCTCTACACCAGTGTGTCCTTGTTGGGCCCCTTGACTGCCCAAGAGGACGCCATCATTATCCTCAACGTGGTCGTTTAGGCTCAGCTTAGTCGTTAAGGCTCAGTGGGTCTCTATTAAATTAGCAAGATAGAAAAGCCACATTCCAAGCACAGTCTAGGGTGTATAATTACTAACTCCTTACTGCCCAATACCATCAGAAACTTCCTGAAAATTCCCTGAAGGACATGCAGCTATACAGTCCATTTGCTCATAGTATTCTAAGTTGACAGCTGGATTAATTCACACCATCAGAGATACACATGCATGAATGATACGCTATAATTCTCCTAATCCACCATCCCTCCAAATAATCAGAATTGCTTTTACTGGACCCAAGGCGGTACTACTGGTCAGTATAAAAGAGCGTGTTAAGAAGTAGCTCTGTGATGTTCAACTCAACGTTGTCTTAGCGTGTGGACCCTGCTGAGACACAGTCCCTCCCTTTGTAATGATCCTATGGGGAACTTGCTTCCGCTGTGAGTTACAGGAATTGTTGTATTTCTCTGAGAGACCGATCTAGCCTGTGGGCACTGTGAATTGTGTAACCAGTCAAAACTCTTTTTCCGTGTTGATTTTTTAAAAGCTCAGAAGCCGGTTGGTGATACAGAGAGCCAATGTGTAGCACTTCCCATACTCCTTTGTCTTGTTTCTGCCTGTCCCTGTGTTCTTCCTCTTTCTCCCACAGGGGGCAGAGTCTGCCTCGCTAAGGCTTGGGGCACAGAGGACCTGAGCAGGAGCAGGCTGCCTGTGCCATCCTTGTTCCAAATGCAAAGGTAGGGGTGTCTCATGCCGGCTCACCGGGCAGATGCTCACGGCTCCCCCGCAGCAGAGGAATAAGCGAGCAGGTAGAGAGAGTCCAGGGTGCCCACCAGTGGCCGTCACTCCCCAGGAGCTGAGACAAAGCCTTCTCCTCTGAAAGCATTTCCCCTTTACAGAAAATTAGGAAGTACAGACAACTGGAAACCAGTGTAATTTCCAAAGGAGGAAAATGACATTTGGGGTGGGGGGGAATTTGGTGCATGACTGACCAGTGCCTAGGTTCTCGAAGTAAGATGTTTAGAATGCAATTCTTGGGAAGTTTGTGTTTATTCGTTTTTGTTGTTGTTGTTGTTGTTGTTTGTGTTTGTGGAGTTTGTTTGTTTTGCTTTGTTTTTTGCTCACAAAAAAAACCCAAAAAACAAAACAAAACAAAAAACCCCATCCCCACACCTGAGTGTGCCATGCTGCCGGCTGACCTGCGTGGATAGATCAGCCCGACTGGGTACGGGGTTCTAGCCTAAGCCTTGGACTTAGGGAGCATGTGGCCGAGGCTGTGTCCTGTTCCAGAAGGCTACATCAACTGCCATGAAATCAGGTCCCTTGGTGGGGGGGTGGGGTGGTGCAGAGTCTGTGGTCGGAGGTTCTGAGAAGATAGAGGGAGGACTGCAGAGCAGGGTCGGTGACAGGAACAGAGCAACGGAACTCCAATCCCAGGATCTCAGCAGCAGGCGGAGCCGCCCCAGTCCCTGCAGCAAGCACAAGGCCCTAACTAAACCCCACAATTGCAAATAAGAAACAACAGGGTCCTCAATTTCCAGTTGAGATTGAGGTTCCCAGTTCACAGCCATGAGGAGCAGAAATAACCACTTGTTCTCACCCACAGAAGATGCACCATAGGAGAGACAGGGCAGACAGGATCTCCCAGAGGTGTCAGTTCAGTGGGGTGTTCTGTTAGTGCCATAGTCTCTCCTTCTAACTGTAATGATTGCTATTTTGATGTTGCCAAAGCCTAGCAGTGTGTCTTGTCGGCAGGAGACACTCAGAAGTTAATGCATAACCATAAGTAAAAATCAGACAGGGGAGGGGGGAGGTGAAGCAAACTGGTGTTTACATATTTGTATCAACTGACACGATTTTAAAAATGAAGTGTATTTTTCTAGTTCACCATTATTGCTATCGTATACACTTTGGTTGTTCACAGTTTAATGATAAGTGCTCCCTTCTAGCAGCTTTCCATGTGGTACAGTCTTCACTGCAGATTAACTTGATGTATTATGCACCCTAACTTTAATTTTCCTTTTTTTTTCTCTTTTACATCTTTCATTATGCTGAGGTAGCTGGACTTCTCAAAAATTGTCTTTAAGGGGTTTTGTAACATGTATCGCATGTAAATGACCAGACAGAGAGCTTGCTGAAGGAACTTTTTACATCAGTCACTTATCTTATCTAATTAATCATACTTACTTTTTGAAATCTGTGTCATTTGGTGGGAACAGCACACGTGCTTCCCACAGTGGGGTACAGAGTGATAAACTGAGTGGTTAGCCGGTCTGAAAAGCACGATAGGAACATTGCTGTTTGATTTCTATTTACGAAAGATTTCACAACATAAAATTTGTATTTGTACAGTGTTTTGTGTAAAGTTTATTTTTTGATATCTGGGAAACGTTTCAGATACTAAGGTTTCATATAACCAGGTTAGATTGGATTCCCAGGAGGTTTGCCCCTCCCCCGCCCCGGGGAATTAGTTAATTAAGGTTGCACCCAGTAAATGCTTCCCAGGAAGACTTCTGAGCTTCCATGGGGTAACCTGGTCTCTGCTGAGAGAACATATGGTGTGTGCTTACATCTGCAGAAACCATCGGGACCCTCTGTGTGGGAAATGGGACACGGACAAGTCAATCACGTTCCCATTCTTAAAGTGCACTCAATACAAAGCAATTTGTACAGCATAAAAGACATCAATAAAAACTCTAGAACGTGATTCTTTTAACATTTAAGAATTGTCAGGTGAAATATTTTTGCAGTAGTTTTGCAGTTATGATCATATTCACCCTGCAAGCTAGTTATTTAATAAAAAATAATAGTGTAGGATAGAGAATGATTGTTATAGATCTGTAGTATTACAGGCTAGGTAGGTGAGGGGAAAAAAAATCTTTCTGAAATTGACCATTGCTCTCCTATGCAACCTTCTTATTTGATTAAATTGCACATGAAGTTTAAAATAAACTTCATCAGGGAAGAAAATAATACAATCTGTTTATTGTTTCATTATTTCATGCTTTTTAACTTTGGCTTCGCTTGGTAGAGCAGGCAGTTAAGAGTTCTGCAGAGCAATGGGGGAAAGCCGGCATTTTGCTCGTTGTGGATTTGGCCACACTGGATGGCTGTTTAATACAGAGATAGGATCATCCTGTTCATGTGCATGGTCTTGGAGGTTGTCAAAGGATACTCCCTGTATTTTGGTAGATTTTTTTGACACGGAAGAATTTTCCTTACTGTACTAGATCTTTCTTGTATCAAATAACTTTAAAATGTGGAGATTATTAAAATCATACACTATACTTGTTTTATTTCAAGATCAAAATTCTACCACTTTACCGTTTACCACTAAAATGAATTCATCTTTAGATTCTGCTCTCAGAGACCAAAATTGACAAGCTGAGTGATATTATATTTAGAAGTCAACTGAAAGGTGGCTTTTACTTTCTACATTATCTTATTCTGAGTGGTTCGATGATAAATACTTTCAGTATATTTGGAACTGAAAATATTTTAGTGAACGTCAGATTCAATATTTGTCACACAAATGAAAAATGTTTTTTGTTAAGAATCGCATAATGCGTTTTATGCGTTGTCTTCTTGTTATGTTCTTGGGGAACAGTGATAGCATTTTATTTGTAGAGTTTGTGATATTTTAGTATAACTTAATTAAGGACCTAAGATACAATTGTGGGAATCGGGAAAAGATAAATTTGAGATTTGTATCCATTTCTGTTCTTCCCTAGGCACTCTCAGCCGGGGGCAGTTGCTAGGTCCTGACCACATGTAATATCACCCTGGTGTTAACAGAAGTGTCATCCTTGACGTTCAGGTGCCAGAGCAGCCATCTTGCCCCCCACTGTAGGGTGTTGCTTTATTCCATTTGCTTTGGTTTCAACTGTGGGTTTCTCTCCAGTTCCCACTGGGAGTTGAGGCCAGTCTTGAACACCAGGTCATTTAGCCAGAGTCCTGATACTGCCCAGACTTGGGTCTTACCCCCATGAATATTTGACATACTGGCACCCATTCTAACTGCCATTATTGCATGTACAAATTCTGCTGCTCGGTGCCATGAATCCTGCCATAGAACTCACTACCATAAGACGGCTTCAGTCTGGATGCTAGCCAGAGCCAAGCCTGAGGTGGCTGCCCCCCCCTGAACACTTGGTTGGTTAGATCCACACCCTTTTGATCTAACCAACTTGTCAGTTTCTCCAGACCCGACCACTTCAGGCCCAGTGTCCCCGAGGTCCCAGCTTTGTCCTCGCACCCTGGGATTATCTTACGATACACCAGTTCTTTTCTTAAGGAATGTAATTTCATGAAAGATGGCACTTGAACTTTTCTTCATTTAATATCCCTTTGTTTTCTTTTCCTGTAGTCTCTGCTTGTTCATAAAAAAAAACCAACCCTGAACTTATTAAAGTTATTTGTTTTCCTTTATGTATTCATTTAGTACATATTACTTTTAACTTGGATATCTGATCAACCTTAGATAACCAGTGATATTTCATTGGATTGATTTAATGCCAACCAAATCCAAAGAGTTCTTAAGGATTGTTAGGTATGCAACTTTATTAGGGAATCAAAGTACACTTTTATTTAGACTTTTAAAGATCTTGAAAATAGCTTGAAGATCTCCTTCACCAATTTCAATGTGGGATCCATCCCTCTTTTGAATATATGAATAGATATGGGAGCATATGTGAAAATATAATAATATAATATAACATAACATAATATAATATAAAAAGTAGTTACCT